CTGTAATTGAGATTAGAAAAGTTCTTTGTTGTTATGAGAAATTTGTATGAAATTGGAAATGGATACAGATATTTAATATTCCATAGACACGACACTATTGCAAATCAGTTCAATTTCTACTGGGACATACAGATTGTGTTTTAAGCCAAAAGTTTTTCTCCGGCTTTGTTATAAATACCGTGCCAAAGGTAGAAAAATTCAGTGTAACAGTCATAACTCCAAAAGAGCAGTGTCTGGGAAAGAATCTTTCAAGATTTCTTCTAATTTTAATAGGCTCTACGTATTGACTAGTCTTATCTGAAACGTGAGATATCACCACGGGTGGTTTTCTTGTTAGTATTTATACGAAAAATTTTGGCTACTAATTATACAATTAAAACACTTATTATTTTATTTTCTCATTGAAGTTCATTAAGCGTACAAGTAAACAGTGAGGTACTCGTTTGATGCACACTAACGATTGTGGAATCCTCTTCTTGTAGACTTTATATACCGGCTTCAATAGTCATTCTTGATAATTGAAGATAAATGATCAATAAAATCACAATGCTTGAGAATGTTTAAATGAAGATCTCAATGATATATGTATTGTGATTTTTGAATTTCCATACGTTAAAATTCCTAATGAAAAAATCTAGTTTTCATGCTAATGGTGTTATTAGAAACAGTTCATGAACAAGCAGCTATAAATTTATTTTTACGACTACATATTTTAACTATTTTACGCATTGTTATCATTAATTATTCTGTGTTTTTTTTTGTTCGGTTAACAATTATCGATTTGAAAACGTGAAATTACAAGCTTTATGGAGAAATACAACACAACATCAAAATTTTAAACAAGAACATGCACACATATACAAATATTCTTAAAAACAAAAGAAAACAAACACATATATAATGTCTTACTTTGTACCGTCACTTTATGGAATTACACGAGAGACAGAAATTTCAGAGCATGATTTACATAGGATTTTTCTAACTATCTAGGAAATATTATGAATATTATTTTTCGCTAATAAAAGTTTATGAAAGTCACAATCTTTACTCAAAAAAAAAATCAAGTATATCGGAAGTTAATCGCTAGTTATAATCTTGCTAAAGAATTTTGTCGAATTTATTTCAGTTCAACTAGATAAATAATCAATGATTGATAATTTTTTTTCTTAAAACGATCTTTGAAATACAGTTAAATTAACATAGAGGAAATCATAAACTCTGCTTAATATTAATAGAGTCATTCGAAATCTCGGGGGAAAACTTCAACATGATATATTCTCTGTTTACTAATACCTGCTGATTGTCTTATTAACATTAGTGAGAATATTTACAACAGTACACAAAACAATTTACTCTAATATATGTGACTATTTTCAAAAGATACTTTTTTGTTTTGTTTTTTTTTTGTTGATAAAATACAAGTAGACTGCCAGAAAATTAAGACGACTACAAAGTCAGAGTAAAATACAATTTTACACACAAGAAATGTTTCATTTTATTCATATTAAGAATGCATAATTAGTCTTGAACTTTTATTTACAAGATAGAACATGAACTCTTCGATTTATTTTTACTCGTTCGTCGACTTGAAGGACCACTGCCAGTTACACGACGTTCATCAAGTGTATCAAACCAATCATCAACAGCACCCATTAAAACTTTAACTACATACTTTAAAAAAGAAAATGTCTTTTTTTTCTAATATGCATCAGATATATTTAATAACATACATCACCAAAACTAAATGGAAAATTTTTTCCTTGAACTTTTTGAATTTCTTGTCTTTCAGATTTATAATCATCGGCAACATCAAGATTTGGAATCTTTTTATCCCAATTATTTAGATATCTAAAATAAAAATAAAATGATAACAAAAAAAATTATTCATAGAATTATCTTACCCAATACAATCATTATCATCTGTACAAGCAATAATCGTTACTGGAATACGATTAATTGGATTTCGTTCATGACGAAGTGCATGTTCTAATGATTTTGTATCTTGTTGTCCTACTTCATTTGTTGGTACACCATCAGTAGCAATTAAAATTAATAATTTACGTTCTTGTATTTCAAGTTGTTTTTCTCGTAAAACATGTTGAAGTACACGAAGAATTGGTGTTGGACCTATTTTATATTATATAAATAAAATGAATATTTTCAAAAAATTACATACCTTCTGGTGGAACAGCAAATGTTGGAACTAATTCTTCAGAACTTTTCACATGACGCATTGGTTCACGATTTAAAAAGAAAATATCTGAAAAGACAAAAAAGAAAAAGAATTTCTCATACAAAATTATTTGCATTTCTTTTTCACTTACCGATTCCATCTGGATCAAAACTTGATTATATAGAAAACAAGAATATATATATATATATATGATGTATAAATAAAGAAAATATCATACACAGAAGCAATATCAACTACAATTGAAACTGTTTGTCGAAGTTCATCCCATCGTGTTGGATTACGATCAAATGGACCAGTGATATCACCTGATATAATTAAAAAATTTATTGAAATACAAAAATAAAAAAGAACAAAATTTACCTAACGGTGTATTCATCGATCCAGAATCTAAAAGAAAAAAATGGCATTGATTTGGGCCAATAGAAAAAATGTTTGTTTTGACATATCTCGACGAGTGAGATGAAGATGTTTTATTGTATGCAAAAAAGTAAGAGACGTACAAGTACACGAAGAAGAAATAATAGGATGTGATTGAAGAGAATATACACACTGTTGATCCACATCTATTATAATAATTCCTCGGGAAAACAAAAATTGACCATCAGTTCTCTCCTGGTTTTGTCATTCAGAGAAGCTAATGTGATGCTTTTTTCTGCATTCATTTTCACACTCACATATGCATGTTCACAAATCCCTTGATGAATATAAATGTGAGAATCCTGTGGGGAAATGAGAAAGAATTTTTATTTCTCAATCCTTAGACACTTCTGTAATCATCAGTCGAAATCAAGGATTTTCTTTTTGTACAAAAAGAAAGGTCTTATTGTCTTTTATCACATTTTGAACATTACTATATCACTGAAGGATAACCTACAGCTTGACATTTCTAGGTCTCGTTCTTTTGTTGTTAAAGCTGTACACACTATATTTATCTAGTAAATCTAAAAAGAATGTCATTGAATGTATTATCGTAATGGTAATTCTTTTCAAGAACAAACTTCATCATCGTGAAGTTTGCTGTCTTAACCTTAAACACAAATGAAAATATTTTGCTCAGAACAAGAAATTTTACAGGAATGTGAACTTTTTCGAATAGCTCTAATGAAAGGAATTCTTTTGGATAAATGCGTTCCTCTCCTCCTCACTCTCTACTCTCGTAAAGTCGAAACAGTTCAACTTAAAACTTTCATATATCTTACTGCAGTGTAAATTTCGAATTTATGACAATTCGAAAGTCAAGAAAACGAAGTGAATGTATTACCTGTCGAAATTCTACTCTCATATGTCATAGTATGTTTTTTATCTGATAGCATATATTTAATATCAAATTTTTTTTAGAAAATGTTACTTTCTATTTACAATCTTAAAATCTATCATTCTCTCTTCAGTCGCAATATCATTTTAGCTATGTATGATTTATAAAAAAAAAACAACAGATATGAATTAGTAATGAAATTATTTTAGCTAGATGGATATAATAACTGGGAAGTTCCTCTTTTGTACTATTATTCTTTGTCACGAGACATAAACCTATATGTTTGATACTCTCATGAGAATACAATAGAATAAAAATTATTGTATTGGAAATTATTTGTTTTTTTATTTATCTAATTCTTTAGAGAAGTCAAGCTTGAAATAATTCGATATATTATTGTATTTCTTATTATTTGACTTACCATCAACAATAAATACGATTTCATATCCTTCCAATGCTCTTAATCTTGTTGCAAAATCTCGGTTAATTTCATATCGATTGACTAAATATTGAAATTTTCTTAAACGTTCTTCACTATCAACAGGAGCACTTTGTTGAAATGAATTATAACCACTTTGATTCGAATATGGTGGTGGTGGTAGTAATGGAGGTGCACTTGCAGGAAATTGTTGTGGATACATATTTGATTACTATTAGCACTTCTAAGCAATAAAGAGAAACTCAAAAACTTTTCCTTTTTATTTTTATTACATACGTCTTCGTTGTTTTTTTTTTTTGTATCTGACGTCACAAATAAAGAGTTTGTTCGAACGAAAAAATAAAGCACATTAAAAAAAATCTAAAAATATATATCTTTTCATGTTTCATTGTTATCTCAGAAGAAAAAAAGAAAAAAAATTATGACAGTTTATTGAATCATAATTGACGTCGATCTTTCAATGTCGATCCCCATTTTGACGTCAACTCGATAATAAAGACATGAAGACTAAAAAATGCAAGAGAAAAAAAAAGGAAAACAATCCCTGATTAGGAATATAATAATTATTCTATATTCCGGTTTTTCTTTCCCTAGTGTGTATGCTATAAAAAAAAAAACGACGAGAAAATGCAACATGCACCATCTATATATTAGAACTTATCATATCAGAAAAAAAATTTATTTGAAACAATTATTACAAAAAAAAAAGATTTCATAAACGCATTCTTGTTTTACAAATATGCCATGAGTGTCATATCAGAGCCAAGTTTTTTTAGAAATATTGATTCAAATAAAATTATCTACATCATTCACAATTCGATTTTGTATAAGAATTTCGATTCGTTAATAAAAAAGTAGCATAATTTCCAAAATGATCATCACCAAGTGATGGACGAATCTATAATGAAAAATGATAGCATGTTATATATCCATACCATTTTATTCATTAAATGAAGTAAAAAAAGTTCAAGTGAAAACAAAAAAAAGATTTCATCAAAAAAAAAACAACCTGAAAGAATCAATTTTTTTTAATAACCTGATGAAAAATATCTCCCTTGAATATATTAATTATGATATGTCCATTGTTTGAAGAATTATTTGTATATACCTTGTTATAATATAGCACAGAATCGATTTTTTCGTTTACGACCAAAATCTTTACTCGGTCGTCCATAGCCATCAGTTGAAACTTTTCTTTCATCTAAATCATCAAACCAACTGTCGACACCACCCATTAATATTTTAACAACATACTAAATAAAAAAATAAATATTCAATTAAAAACCAAGTTAATTTATTAATAGAAATAATTTAAAATAACTTACATCACCAAAACTAAATGGAAAATTTTTTCCTTGACGTGCTTGAATTTCTTTTTTTTCATTTCTATAATCATCAACAACATCAAGATTAGGAATTTTTTTATCCCAATCATTTAAATATCCAATACAATCATCATCGTCTATTATAAATAAAAAAAATAATAAAAAAAAAATAAACCATTCTATTGAATTCAATAATCAATTTTAATTTATTTCATACCTGTACAAGCAATAATTGTTACAGGAATACGATTTGCTGGTTTACGTTCTTGTTTAAGAACATATTCAAATGAACGAATATCTCGATGACCTTGATTATCTGTCGGTACACCGTCAGTTGCTAACAGTATCAGTAATTTGCGTTCTTCTATTTCATTTTGTTTATCACGAAGGACACGTCGGAAAACGGGAACAATCGGGGTTGGACCTTATTAGATTAAAAAAAAGAAGAAGAATTCATTTGAACGAGAAAAAAAACACAACATTCATCTATTATTATTGAACTTACCAGCTGGTGGAACGGCAAAAATAGGCACCAATTGTTCTGAACTACGAACATGAAATACAGGTTCACGATTAAGAAAATAAACATCAACACCATCCGGATCAAAAACACTAGCTAGATCAACAACAATTGATACAGTTTGTTTTAATTCATCCCCTATAATTATAAAATTCATATTCAAACATTGATCTATTTAATCATACATCGAGATGGCATTTTATCAAAAGGACCCGAAAGATCGCCTAAAATAGTATACCATAATTTCGTTAAATAAATAAATTAGACGTCTAAAATTAAATTACCAAGTGGTGTATTCATTGAACCTGAATCATCACAGATAAATACAATTTCATAGCCTTCAAGCACACGTAATTTTGTCGCAAATGTATGATTGACTAAATAATAATGAGAAGTTTTTTTATTTTTTTATTTTGTTTCTTATTAAATTTTATTTTTATTAAACTCACTTTCATAACGAGCAACAAGTTGTTGAAAATCGGCCATACGTTCTTCGGCTGGTCGATAATAATTAAGTGGTTGTTGATTAGCTTGCATATTATTTTGATATGGTGGTGGCTCTTGTGGTACTTGCGGATATTGTTGTGCATACATATTCTATTTTATTTTGCTCTATATCACACGATGTATTGCAAAATTTGACTATCAGTCAAGATAAAATATTACTTATAAATTCTAGGAATCTAAAGAAATGGAGGAATGAGTTTTGTTTGCATTGACGTAGAAGATAGAGAGCGATGAGAAGAATGATGAGGCATCCGTTTTAAACAAAAAGCGCTTTGTCACACTCTCTCTCTCTCTACTCGAATGTCATTCTTCTACATCTTTTAATCATCACTTATGCTAATGAATAGAGAAAAAAACAACAGTTATTCTAGACATGAAATCAGCTTACATTCTAGCAGCTAAGAAATTCCAAGTCAACATTGAATTACTTAAGTCTTGTCGAATAAAATGAATATTTATCTCTATATATATTTATTGCCTGTCAATTGTCAGCCATGAGAAAAATCTTTTTTTTTTCTGTCTATTTATTTTTCGTTAGTAGTACATGTAGTTGGGTGATGCGAACAGATGAATAGAGAAAAAGAGCAAAAAAAAAGAAAAAAAAAGAAAGAGAACTGAGACTTTATGAAAGGAAACAAAAGGACAAACAAAACTCAGGCCGTTCACTACATGGATAAAGAACCAGATCAAGTTAAATAGATTTAAGTTTGAAAAGAAAAAGAGAAAAAAAACGAACGACAAAAAAACCAAAACAAAATCGTTCCTGGATACAAAAAACCCATCATATAGAGACAAGACAAAAAGAAACAACCGTATGTGTGTATAATAGTGAAATGTGTGGTATTTATACACATTCCCCTGAGACAAAAAAAAAAGAAGCATTTGTAATAAAGCCGAAAAAAAAACAAAATAGTGTACGCAACGGTCACTGAACTTCTCCAAATTTTTTTCTTTTTCTCTTCACCGTTCGAGTATGAATTCACTTATTTCCTTTTTTTTCTTTTTCCATAAGAAGGAAGTGTGTTACATCTCATAGAAAAACTTCTTTACAATATATGAATTACACACAAAACATACACGTAGATATTTATAATATGAATGAATCAATTACAAGATGATAAACAATAAACTGTACATAATAATGAACCATTTTCTTTTTTTTTCCTTTTGAGCAAAAAAGCAAATAAACAAACAAAAAGTGAAAATATAACAAGAATCTCTTATGATGATAATCAATACAATATTGGGCCGGCAAGATTAATACACATCGCCTGAGCCATGCTGTTTTCAAAATGATTATATATATGTATATATATATACAGCAAAAACAGAGTTTGAGAGCGACCACTGTCACACTATGAAACACAAAAAAAAAAACCCACACTGAATAATGAATCAAACAAAACATCTAACTAGAGAATAATAATAGATTGATAGAGAAAGAGAAAGAGAGAAAAAAATCAAACAAATTATAATGTTAATTGTCATAATGTGATAAACCATTTGTATTTGATGTTGATGATGTTAATAATGGACCCAAATCGGAATTTTTACTTAAATATTTTTCAAGTTTTGTTATTATATGTTTACCATATGTAAATTTACGAAGTGATTGTATATGTGGACGAACTTTTTGTAATAAAACTTTCCGTTGAACAGGTTCGGCTACATCAATCATCTAATTAAAAATAAAAAAAAGTAAAAATCTAATTTATTATACCAAATGGATCATTTTTAATCTTTGAATTAAACATGAATAAATAGAAATAAAAAGAATTTCTATTTATAGTTTAGAAGTATAAATAGTAAGAAGATTGAATTAGTTTTCTTTTCATTTATATGTATCTATATATATAGAAAAAAGAAGGCTTTGAACGAAATCCCATTGGAATTAAAATATTAACATAATACAATGACTTTTATTGTGAATGAGGAGATTATTATTATTGTTACTGTTATTTGAAATGAAGAAAAAAAAACACAAAGACATTGATTGAAATGCGTGGGGAAAATGACATGGTTGTACTTTAAACTAACAAATAAAAAATTAGCGTAGAATTTAACTAAATAGATTCATATTTATTATGTGCATTTATCTATTATCAATCATACAAAAAACAACCAAAAAAATTTTTTTTTCATACAAAAGAATATTTTATTTGCAGCAGTAGAAATTATGAAATTTTTTTTTTTTTTTTTTTTTTTGATAATGAAAACATTTTTATAGATTGAATAATATTAAAGACTGTTTTTTAGTTCTGTCTTAATTGCAATTTATGAAGTGATTGCCTGAAGGTATTCAGAGTTTTAGAACTCATATTTTTGCTCATGTAGAAAGAACTGCAAAACTAAAATAACCTGGAAAAAGAATTATTTTTGACCGGAATTGTTATCTTTAAGTAGGTGTATGAGTCTAAGAATGTCTGAAAACTAACTTCCCTCGTGAGATATTCAATGGTAACAAACTTCTCATGTGTTTTTTCTAATTGTCTCTCAAGTCTAATTGATTTGTAAACGGTGAATAATGCATGAAGAAAACAATTATTTCGATTGAAATTTTTAAGTAGAACTATTAATTTATAAGATAAATGAATTTTTTATTTCGAAAAATGAAGAAAGGTTTCTTTTTCCATTAGATAAATAGACAAATACTTAATATAACAACACGAGATGTGAATAAATTTTCTTTCTTATTAATAACATCACTTCAACATGAGATATTATTCAACAATGCAGCTAATACATGAAAAAATGTATGCAAAAAAAAAACATTTTCTGTATATTTTATTAGTATTTATGATCTACCTAGTAAAAATTAGATTCTCATAAAATAGCTTCTTTAGTATAGAGTAATAAAATTACTTCTAAACAAAATTTCCAATCAAAACTTATATATTTAATTAATCTTCCTATAATAAAATTCAATAAAATTTCTCATAATTTTCTAAATAACATATATTATTCGGAGTCTTTTGTCTACAAATCGATTTTTCTCGATCTTCAAAAACATGATAATCAATTCAAGTATATTAACATAATATCCAAAAAATATTTTAAGCCTATTTATTCTTGAAATTGATCAACACATGAACTTCCTGAGATAATATTTCTATTCATTATATACATATAAATATTCATGACTACGCTAAAATATCGTCTACTTATCAAATATACTCTGTTTTATATATGTCAATATAATACTTCGAAAAACAAGAAGCGAACATCAAAGAAAAATTCTTTTTCAATAATGACAAATCTTTCTATATTCTTTTGCTTTATTTGTTTTTCCTCTTAATTACATTTTACATATCAAGATCATAATACCATGTTTTTAAAACTAGAAATTATTCTCTTATCTTCTTTAAAAACAGATATCAGATTAAATGTACTTGCAATGAACCTCTCGTCAATGTAGAATCATAATAAATTATAATAAGCCTACGCATATTGTCTATCTTGTTATTAAAATAAATTCTAAGTATTCGAATTATATTCATTTGTTTTTCTCTTAGAAAAAATTACACAAAAAGAACAATCTTACTTTTTGTACAACATAATTAGCAAATTGATCTTTCATCATTGTTAATAAAGCACTGTTAGGTCTATAAAGAAGAAAAAAAACATCAAATAAATATTCTACAAAGAAAATAATGTATATTTACCCATCACCAAATGAAACAACTTCATCAATAAGTTGTCTTTTTTCATCTCGTGTTGCATAGGTAACACATTTTTCTACAACATTACTAAAACAAAGAAAAAAAACAAAAGATTGTCTTTTTCTTTTTAATATTAATTCGTTTTCTTTTTACCTTGCAAATTTATGTTGTGATAATTGAAGTACACGACCACTTATCGCACTTATTATTCGACTACGATCTTCAACTTTTCCATGTTCTAATACATGTTGAATAACATAATTTCCTAAAGAAAACACAATTTTTTTATTTCATAAACGAAGAAGATTGTTCAGAGATTAAATCAACTCTTTTCTCTCTCAATAGTCAATTCTGATACTATTCGAGTTAGACTTCATTCTGGCTTGTGCGCACCTGACTCAAAACTCTTCTATGTAGACTTATATTACGTAATGTTTTCTTATTATCTTAAATTCGTATTATATATACCAGATCAAAACTTTTTCTATACAATATGATAATGCTTCTGACGAAATTCTCTTTCTATTCAACTTTTAAAGCAGTAATCCATTCAGTGACGTATCCAGGGTTTTTCAGTATGCTGAATCTCGACTTCCGAGTGTGAGACCCAGATGAAACTCATGGAGGGTGATGCTGGGTCCAAATGATGAAATTTTATCAAAAAAAAGTTTGCATTTTCCTGATCCCCCTCCTATGATTTTTTGCTGTTAGTAGCATCTTAATTTTTAGAATTTCATAGGAAGCTATACCGAATTTCATCGACAAATTTCAAATTTCGTCTAAAAGTATGTAATCGTTCAAGAGTTATAACTTTTTGAATTTTTGCCACATGTGGAAACAATTTTTTCGAAATTTCAAAACATCATAACTCTTGAACGGTTGCACATTTTTAGACGAAATATAAAATCTGTTTATGAAATTCGGTATAGCTTCCTATGAAATTCTAAAATCCAAGATAATACTAACAGTAAAAAATCCTAGGAAGGGGGGATCAGGAAAATGCTAATTTTTTTCGCAAACTCTGAGTGCAAATTTTTTTTGATAAAATTCCATCATTTGGACTCAACATCACCCTCTATGAGTTTCATTTGGGTCCCATGCTCAAAAGTCAAGATTCAGCATACTGAAAAATCCTGGATACGTCACTGAATCCATTGTTAATTATATATCGATCAATAGCAATTTGAAAACTCGAAAAAATTGTACTATTGTGTAACGAACAATAATTTAAACCGTGAAAAGCCACTTTGAAAATTCTAAAAAAGCTAAGCAAATCTAAAATGATAGATGAACAAATAAAAAAAAAGAAAGTTTGTTTGTCGACGTAACTGTGAGACGAATTAGGAGTAAATTCTTTGATAAAAACTAATATTTGCCGGAAGATTTTTGTGATATGTTGTACAGATCAATTTCTGTTTTCTATGCTGA